GGGAAGGTCAGACACACACACACACAAACACACACACAAATGCACACACAAATGCACAAACACAAATGCACACAAACACACAAACACACATTCACACAAACACACAAACACACAAAAACACACACACGGATGTATGCACTCATTGTTGTGGAAAACTCGATCCAAAGATTAGGCAGAGACTAATTTATAATAGTGAATCATTAGTACATTCGAGCAGCTGCAAGGTAGATCCCTCTCTGATCTCAGTCAGGGAAGGAGCTCCCAGAGTAATTGGTTCCATGTCCCTTATATTGTGGAAGGTAATAATACAATCATATTGTTACACAACAGTTATTTATACAAGCAGCAGTTCCAGAACACAATGGCCTTGTATTGGGGTGTCTATGAAAAGTCTATGAAAAGCATGGCATCACAGTCCAACACAGAACAGAGCATAACCCTTGAGAAGTTACAACAGCTCACCCCAATTTTGTCACAACAACGTGAACACACACATGCACGCATGCACATAAACACACACACTCACGGGGTCTGTCTGGTACTCTCTGCTGTAGAGTTCGTGGCAGTTGTTGAAGATGTATTCGTAGGTGGAGTTGAGACAGGCTTTGACACAGTCCTTCACCACTTGACTGGCCCTTGGGGGGCTCTGCAGCTCCTGGACCTGATCACACAGGAGGGTCAGAGGTCAGTTAGTTTAGCTTTAGAACATACAGTCAGGTTCAAAACATTGGCACCCTTGATAAAGATGAGCAAAAAAGATCTGTATAAAATAAATCATATGAATACTGAGATATGTTGTATGCTCAAAAATAGAATAAAATTATATTATTTTATATTAATACAATTGCTCAGAGAAAGAGATTTTGTTTAACAAGTAATATTTGTTATCCTAAAAAAACAAGGGTAAAAATGATTGGCACCCCTGTTTTCAATACCTTGTGAAGATAACGGCACTGAGCCTTTTTCAAAAATATTTTATGAGATTGGAGAAAACATTGGGTGGGATCTTAGACCATTCCTCCAGAATATTTCTAGATCCTTGATATCCTTCGTCTGCGCTTATGGACTGCCCTCTTCAATTCAAACCACAGGTTTTCAATGGGGTTAAAGTCCGGAGACTGATGGCCACTGCAAAAGGTTGATGATGCCGTTGACCTTAAAGTAACTGACCAGTGAAAATCTCACTTTAAAAAGCGTACAGTCTGTTAACATACCCAAATAATGTTGTTGACTCATCCTATTCTCGTATTTGTGGCCAAAGCATAAATTGGAGAAAAAAACCCACCTGAAACTTCTATCTCAAACAGACCGTTTAAAAAATGCTTGCTATTTCCTCAGAGAGTGATGTCAGGTAACACTTTATTTGGATAGTCCCAAGTAGATGGTTTGTAGATGTTCAATAACTGTCAACAACATTTCAACTAACTATCCATTAACCTGACACTAACCGTATATGGCTGATCCACCATTACTGGTGCTAAATGTTGCCTAGCCCTCCAACTTTCCTGATCCACCGTTGCACTCTCATTTTGTTTCACTGAATCCGTGTGGCGAAACAGAACGTAAGCTCACAAGATCAAGATAGTCGTCCGAGGCTACTCAAGAGCTAGCTTAACAAGTAAGTCCATCTATGAATCCACATATATATGGCTTCTTTCCTGGAAAGAAGCTCGGACTTGAGGAAAAGGAGATGAAGAAGGAGATGAAGGAGGTATTGTTTTGTTTACCTTCATTCTGAAGAAGGTGATGCTGGTCAGTAGGTCTACAGTGGACTTGAGGTCCTGCAGCCTCTCAGGGCTACTGGCTGGGAAGTTATTCTACAAACACACAGAAACACCATTACAAACACAGAAACACACATATATACTTTAAAAGCGTGTAGAAACACACCGAAACACTGTTAGGAACAGAGATATGTTCTTGAAAGACAGGTTCAGATATCACAAGACTGGTCAAATAAACATGGCTTGTTGAAGGTCTGTGTAACTTAGAATGTAATGTTTATTTAGTGAGTATACTTTTGTAGCAGTCTATTCTATCTCCTC